CCCTTCTGCTACCTACGTAGCGGTGTGTGTGTGTGTGTGTGTGTACTACATTGCATGTTGATAATACTGTGTTTTAAAAGTACTAGAAATGAGCAGAAGAATGAAATTGAATGCTCCCAAGATTAGGCTTGTGAATATGAATTGTTAGCTAGCATTTTCTGTGATCAAGGCAAAGAAGTGTAGAACTGCTTTTTTGTAAGTTGCTTTATAGAAAAATATGTCTGTTAAAAGCTTGAATACATATGTGTAATATAGGATTGATAGTCAAATATTTTTTTTTGCACCAATGGACAAAATACAGTTTTATAAACTGTGTATATGTCTTTTATATTATTACTCAGGAACAATGGACAGTATAGGGACTTCCCTCCATTCCCTTTTATCAGCCCTTTAAATTCTTCTTTGGTCTTTTTGGCAATTGAGATTTCTGAGAAGTAAGAGCAGTCTACTGACAGCATTTTGGCAGGTAAGGCTAAGGTATCAGTTCTGGCTGTCATTACCTCTAGATTGTACCTTTACATTTTGGTGAGATTGTTCTGAGCCAGTCATGAGAACTCCAGTCATTGCTAAAACCTTTGAAGTTTGGTGTGGGAGGCTCCTGTTCCCTCTGTCAGTCTTGGGGATTTTGTGACAGGTGCTTTGTATGGTTCATGCATGTTTCCCAGCAGTTCATGTTCAGTGCAAGGTGTAGTTTTCCCCAGCATTGACCTCACTGGGAAACACTGCTGGATGTCGGTGTGCTTGCTTTGTGGACATTTGCTGAATTGTACCCTTATGACTTGTGTTCTCCTTTATAATTCTGTTTTTTTGTGTGTTCTAATTCTATTCATTAAAAAAAAGAATGCTAGTAAGAGTATGGGTAGATTTAAAAGCAGCCAGAAGTTGGAATCAGAGTAAATTCTTTACTTGTGAATAAAGAATGCAAATTGGGAATGGCTTGAGAAGGGAAAGACTCAGGTTGTGCTCACTGGTTAGACATTTAGATGCAACACTTGAAAAAAAGTAAAACTCATAGCCTTGAGATGAACGTCTGTCTGTACCACATCCATTTTGATGGCTTTTATCTCAAAGGGGTGTAGGGGACAAAACCTGTTTATAGGTAAATCGGGAAGAAATCAAGAAGCAGCAAGTGACTCAAGGCCCAGTTTTGTTCTCAATGTGTTTTTGCTTCTTGGAAGATGAGGATGTTGTAAATCAAGAAAAGCACACGAGAAAAGTGGACTAAGGTGAAATGGGATTCAGTAGGAATTCTTAATTTGAGGAACATAGGTGAAAATCAGGGAGATCTGTGAAACTCCTAAAATTATGTACAAAGTGTGGTCTTCATTTTTTGTTCTTGGGAGGATCTAAAACTCTATCAGATGCTCCAAGGATTCTGGGGCCCTTCCCACCTGGTCAAGAGCTGCCAAATTCAAACAAAAAGGTTTCTAACAATGAAGAAGAAGAAAGAGGAATCCATGGTGCCCCAAATACTGACTTCTGATTATGTATTCTGACATCAATTTTAAAAAATCATACCTACTTCTAATCTAGCACTGCACTGATAATGAAAAAACCTGGAGCCTTGTGCACATGCTCTTCGTGAAACGTTTCCAGAAAGAAGGATATATGATCCTCCTCGGATTCCTCCTGACCTGTCCTGCCTTTACATAGCCCTTGCCACCCGAGAAACCTGAAATTAGCCGGGTCAGTAACTTTGCCACAAGGGCTTCAGCACTAGGAGAAACTGGAGGATGGAAAGGGATACCTGAGCATTTTAGCTAACATCTGCTTAGAAGAGGATCTTAAGAACACCTCAGGCAACCTGCAGACTCGTTACATGTGCGTTACCCTTGCTGCTTGCATGGTCTTTGCTTCAGCTACTCCTACATCTCACAGAAGCAAAGGAAAGTACTAGTCTCTACAAAACACAAGTGGAAGAATGTTTTACCTGGAGGTATTTCAACTCCTGTAATCCTGGAGGGATTTTTTTTAGTTTGTTGTTTTCCAAATGTATTTCTCTTACTCGTGGTATGTTAGCAAGACTTCCATTTTCGATGTCTGTGATTCTGTTGTTTCCTAGGCCCAGCCTAAAAATGGCATAAAATGCATCAGCTCTTAGGCAGACGTTGTGACAGCTGAAAACACAGGTGAGTGGGAAACAGAAGCCTGACCTATTTGCGTCTGTGTTCAGAGAAAGGTTCTTCCTGGTTGCACGTCATAACCTATTTCAGGGTGTGACAGCCGTCTCCTCCACTGTCAGCAAAACTCTGTAGCTAACCTACACCAACCAGGGGGCACCTGAAAAGTTCTTCTCATTTCACTTGGTGTCCCTCTGTTACCCCCAAGAAAGAGTAAGGAATAGCTGTCCCTGTTCATTTTATCTTCACGACAGTGGCAGACTTGATTAGGTCCTTCCACTTCCCCCAGGGGTCTCATTAGTGTCTCCATCATATCCCTACCACTTCTGAGTTGGGGTTTAGGAGGTTTTTACCTTTGCAGGTCTTTGTATCGTTTAAAATCCTCGAGTTCCACTGTTGAAATTTTATTATAGTCTAAATGAAGCTCCAGTAAAGTTGATGGTAGATCTGGAGTAAGAAAGAAATAGGCATGTTAGATGGAGTAAAAAACCAAGCCCAACTGATTATTCATGTACTTGTTAAGTTTCACACTGTAGACTTAGTCCTTTAGGGATCTGCTTTTTTTTTTCAACTTCTTTTTGTTTTGTTTTGTTTAAAGATTTTATTTATTTATTTGAGAGAGCATGAGAGGGAGGAGGGTCAGAGGGAGAAGCAGACTCCCTGCTGAGCAAGGAGCCCGATGCGGGACTCGATCCCGGGACTCCAGGATCATGACCTGAGGTGAAGGCAGTCGCGTAACCGACTGAGCCACCCAGGCGCCCCTTTTCGACTTTTTATTATGGAAAATTTCACATAGAAATAGAGGCTAGTGTCATGAGCCACCACACTGCAGTGTCCAGTTTTCCACATGTCTTTCATCCACCAGATTAATTATCTGTCATTGGCTTGTTCATTGATTTTTCTTCATTCACTTGTTTTTTTGCTGGAGTATTTAAAATCAAATTCCATACATAATGTCACTTCACCTGTAAAGGCCTCACCAGATGTCCTTAACTCATCAGGTCCTCTTGTTTCCACATAACCATCCTGTCGGGGTCACAGCTATCGGAAGTCGCAGCGATTCTTCACGATCACGGAATATTCCTTTCCCTAATGATCTCAGATACATTGTTTTACAGTTGATTTGTTCAGGTCGGGATCCAGATAGAAGTTTACAGAATGCATTGGGTTCTCCCATCTCTTAAATTTCTTCTACTATTAAATATATACTTCCTCTTTTTTCCCTGTCTTGCATTGATTTCTTTCAGATATTGATTTGTTTGAGATACGCATTTGTGGATTGGACTGAGGCTTCTACATATCATTTGTCTTAGTCATTTCTTATAAGCTATGCTTCGATGTAGAGACGATTAAATTCAGTAGATCAGCCTTTCACCTGATGGTCTTAGTGTTTGTTGATGAGTGCTACAGGATCTATTATTTCATTAAGAATGTAAATATGGCGATTGTCTGATGTTGTCATGCTTAATACATTTATCAGTAGGATTCGTATCTAAAGAATTTTCCTTCATCAATTATTTAGTCACAGTTTTTACAGAAAAGGCAGCATAAATGCTTCTTTTAAGTAATGAGTTGGTGCCATGCCCAGAGGTGACCAGTGAAATTTTTTTTAGTATTTTTATTTAGTATTTATATTTAGTATTATATAAAAACCACCTGGGTTTTTACCTGTTTGATATATTGAATCTCTTGCAGTATTTATTCTCTTCAGTTAGTTGTAGTTTCTGCATAAAGAGAAGCATCTACAGTGTAACCTGGCACACGCCAGGTCCCCTATGAATGTGGGCATTTTCTCTTCTCACCCCTGCATGTTCTGACCCTAGCCCTTCCCAGATTAACCAGAAAATTAAATCACGCCTTATTTTATTAGTATTATTTGTCAACCATAGGTTCTAGTTAGCTAGCTGGGAAAAGTGTTCTTTTTTCCAACTCTTACTGAAAACATTTCCTTCCTTTATTAGTGGTTAAGTCTGTTGAAGGTAATTGAAGCATCCTTATAAATATCAGTACTCTTTTTTTTTTTTTAAGATTTTTTTTTATTTATTTGACAGAGAGAACACAAGCAGGGGGAGTGGGAGAGGGAGGAGGAGGCTCCCCGCTGAGCAGGGAGCCCGACGTGGGGCTCGATCCCAGGACCCTGGGACCATGACCTGAGGCGAAGGCAGACGTGTAACGACTGAACCACCCAGGCGCCCCTACATATCAGTACATTTGCTGGCTGAATTTATGTTGATTCCAGAGTCTACTTTGGATTTTAGAAGTTAAAAAAAAAGTCTAGAGGACAGGAAAACAATTCTAAACTGAGAGGGTTCTAATTTTTTTGAATTCTGATTAGTTGAACTGAATTATATCTATGGAATGACTGTATCCTCCAATATGTAAAAAGAACGGAGGAGAGGTTCTCTCTTCAGAAACGTTACATACTAGTTGAGCAAATCCATCACACATACAGCAATCACTAAAAAAGTATCATAGATGTTCCAGCCTGTTCTAGAATATGTTGTAGCAACTCAAAGAGAGAAATCTGTTCATGTTGAGCGGTCAGGGAAACTTTTTGGAAGAGGGTTTGTAAAACTTGAGGGGACCGTTCCCTTTGCTAGGGCGTGGAGAAGGTGGATGACCCAAGAGAAAAGCAGAGCCCCTGCAGGGTAGATGAGCCATGTAGGAGTTTGGGTGGGAGCTCAGTGACTGTCAACAAACACGTGCCTGCTTTTGCACAGATCCTTCTATTCCTACCCTATGTTCAAACAGGTGTCTTCTCCCCTCCATGCAGTGCTGCTCTGTAGCAGAGTTTTCCAAATGACCCAGGAGGAAGGCACGTTTCACCCCTCCTTGTGTTAACGTGTCAGGTCTGGTCAGGACCCTTTGGGCCTCTGCCTAATTTCATCCTGCCGCAGGGGTTAGTGATGATTGGATTTCAGCAGTCAGCCTTCACATTTTAGCAAATAAATGATAAAAAAGAAGTCCACTGGCTTTTGAATGTCGTAGGGATCTTGAAAGAGCAGTTATATAAGTTGAGAGATTTAATTCCAATTTAAATTTCTAAAGATAGTGGCACGTGAGTGGCTCAGTCAGTTAAGCATCTGCCTTCAGCTCAGGTCATGATCCCAGGGTCCCTGGCATCCAGCATTGGGCTCCCTGCTCAGTGGGGAGCCTGCTTGTCCTTCTGCCTCTGCCCCTCACTCCTATTTATGCGCTCTCTCTCTTGCTCTCTCTCGCAAATAAATAAAATCCTTAAATAAATAAATAATAAACAAATTTCTGAAGATGTTATATGTTCCTTAAGTCTTTGGAAAAATCTCGAAAACATCATGAGAAGTGAAGCCTTCATTTTTAAGATGCACTGAAACTTGAAGAGAATTAATTGGTCTTGGGATGTGCTGCTGGTGAGCACTGCCCCGGGGCAGTGAGCTCCGGCCTTTCTCTTCCCTGACCCTCCCCTCGTGCCCTCTGCCTGCCCCTCACGTTCGTCCACTGTCAGCATGTCGGAGGCTTTTCATGTATGGGACTTGTTAGGTGGCATGTATTTTTGTTGGTGGTGTCTGAAAGATGAGAAGTAAATCATGTTAGGTTTCTTGTTGAAAACAACCACCTTATTGAATGCTAAGTAAGGTGGCTTTTTAATTGTGGTGTTCTGAATTAAATTGATTTTTCCTGTATAAAAACAAAATTGTCTTTCCAACTTTTACTTTATATGATTTTTCTCCTAAGTGAAAGATCACCACTTGATTCCTAAGAGCAGCTTTGCTGTGTCCTTTAACTTAAGAGTTGATGTTTGTTTTGTTACTCTTCTGGATCAGGTGAATAGTAGAAAAAGGTTTCAATGAAGTCTCTGCTTTTCCTGTGGACACTGAAGGACAGAGCTGTTTGAAAGGAAACTGTATGATTAATCACAGGGGTTATTTCTGACTCAGGTCATCATCATAGCTGAGAGAGAGCACCCCTGTCAGAGACGAGGAACGGACTCTGAGCAGGGTTCCCAAGAAAGGCGAGTCGATCTAGCTCATTGCCACAGTGGGAGCTTGCAGTAGACGGTTAGAAAACTGGTCCAGTAGCAAACTTAAGAGGCACTTAACTTTGAGGCACCAGGTTCAGGTCCCATCATAAAGAACAAGTCTCCATCCATTCACTGGGTGCCTGACACCATCCTCAGACCTTTCTGTGCACTGGCTCATGAATTTCCACAGCACCCGAGTGAAGAATGGGGTACAGGGTGCATGCCCACCCCTGCCAGAGCCTGCATCTGCCCCAGTCTGGCCCCGTGCGTCTTCCCCAACCTTCCTCTCTAGAGAATGTCCACCTCTAGCAGGTTCTTCACGGAATGACAGGTATATATGAATAAATGTTAGGAAGAAGGAATAAAAAGTTCATTACTTCTTAATGTTTGTTCTCACTGGGGAAACAAAAAGATTCTGGTTTCGTACTAGGAAAAAGAAAAAGCACTATGTATGGCTCTTTATGTGTGTGAGAAAACAACAAATTTCACACTACCCTGACCAGACCTACTGATAAAAAGGGTTCTGACCGCCTTGGGTTTCGACAGTGTATACAGCTTACAACAATACATTTCATGGTCATTTAAAGGTGACAATTTTTTTTAAGTACTTTATCGTAAATAAATACAAACCTTTAGGAACAGAGGTCAGTTTTGCTTCTGCAATTCTGATATGGAACACTGTCACTCCTTCAAATGCCCCTGGTTCAATCCCATTATTATCGAGAGGGTTTGCACTCATTTCTGTGGGGGCAAATGACATAATTTAGCATGCATCCGTGTGTATGAAGGAGACTCAGTGCGGGCACAGACATCCCAAGAACATTCTGAGAAATACGAGCTTTATCCTGCATCTTTTTCACTTGCTGTGTTTATTTCTGTGTCTATCTGTTCCCCTTTCTGTTGCTCTCAGAAAAAGACTGCTTCGTATTACATAGGCTGAAGTAACAATATGCTTATATTACAGTAGATTAATACTAGAATAGATTTATTATAGAAAACATATATAGTAGATTTTTGCTTTGAATTGCTTAAGTCAATGACTTGTTATCACTCTGTTCTGACCATGAGCATATTTTGTTGTGTTAATATTACATTAGAAAAAAGATAATTCTGGGGCGCCTGGGTGGCTCAGTCGTTAAGCGTCTGCCTTCGGCTCAGGTCATGATCCCAGGTCCTGGGATCGAGCCCCGCATCGGGCTCCCTGCTCCGCGGGAAGCCTGCTTCTCCCTCTCCCACTCCCCCTGCTTGTGTTCCCTCTTCGCTGTCTCTCTCTCTCTGTCAAATAAATAAATAAAATCTTTAAAAAAAAAAATAGAAAAAAGATAATTCTTCATATAATTTAAAACATTTGTGTTTTCCAGTATACATTTATTTGTCACCTAAGCTTTTAAAATTATAAGTCAATTAGGAATTGTTATTTGATTAACAGAAATATAATTTTGGGGAGATGCCAGTAAGTGAGGCTGTTTGGTAAGTGCCAGGCATTTGGCTGACCTAAGTGAGTGAGGAAGTTAATGAGAATATTGATCATGAGGGGCGCCTGGGTGGCTCAGTCGTTGAGCGTCTGCCTTCGGCTCAGGTCATGATCCCAGGGGCCTGGGATCGAGCCCCGCATCAGGCTCCCTGCTCGGCGGGAAGCCTGCTTCTCCCTCTCCCACTCCCGCTGCTTGTGTTCCTTCTCTCGCTATGTCTCTCTCTGTCAAATAAATAAATAAATAATCTTAAAAAAAAAAAATATTGATCATGAATTTTGAATGAATATTGGAGAGGGAGACGGCATGGTTATACGATGGGTGTTAAAAGTAAAATAGGGTGGAGTTTATAATGTACAACAGAAATTTCTCTAGCTCAGCAATCTTAAAGCAGATAATGTAAATTAGATGTACATTTCAAATAATCTCTGAATTGTGTACATTATATTTGAGTAGTTTATACAACACATTAAAAATACTACCTTTTTTGGTGTAAGCATAACCTTATTATTTTTTTAAAAAATACTACCTTTAAATTAAATATGCATAACAGATTTTACCGATTAGGGTGCAATCAGAAAACTGAAACCACAGTAGATGTTTCAAAGGGGATTCTTGAGAGTGTGTGTTAGAAACGGCGTATTTCTTCAAGGGCTATAAATTTTGTTTGATACTTTGAATTATAAATGGCTTAGATAGATAGAGATTATTGGATTAAAAAAGTTAATTTTGGAAATTACCAGTCTTAAACATTGCTGGTGATGATGAAGACCTCTATCTTTGCATATTGCATATAATTCCAAAATGTATCATCCGTTTGTGTAAACTTACCTAGAACATGTAAAGTATTCATTCCTTTGAATGTCTCCTTTTGTATTTTCTTAACTTTGTTATCATGAATTCTGAGTTCTGCTAGTGACTTGGGAAGGTTAAATGGTATTTCACTTAGTTGATTGTGGGACAGATAGAGCCTTCTCAACTTCTTTGTGGTTAGAAAAGCTTTTGGGTGAATCTTTGTTAGCTTATTGTTGTTCAGGATCAAAGCCTAGATAAAGCATAAAGAGATAGACCATATTACGAAGTGGATTTGATTTACCAATATTCTGCAGTGATTAGTTACTTGTGGAAAACAATGGAAATTATGTCATTCACATACTTTATTAATATGTAAATAATTCCCCAGTCCAACCTAAGCTAAAACAAATATTTACTACTGAGTTGGAACAGAGTGGTTTTGAGCCTTTGGTTTATCTTTCAGTAGGTGATATGTTAGTTAAGCCCTTCCCCCCTCCCCCCGCACCCCATTTCCCTTCATGGAAGTAATCGATGGTATTATATCTAAAAGTCTATTCAGAGGGCACCTGGGTGGCTCAGTTGGCTAGGTGTCCGACTCTTGATTTCGGATCAGGTCATGATCTCAGGGTTGTGGGATTCAGCCCCCGGTCAGGCTCTGCACTCAGCAGGGAATCTGCTTGAAGATTCTCTCTCTCTCTGCCCCTCCCCACCCTTACTCTCTCTAAAATAAAATAAAATAAAATGAAAATCTATTCAGTCACACCAAATATGTTTTTGTATGATTTTATCTACTTTTAAAACCTTCATTTCTTTTTTTTCCTATTTATTTATTTATTTATTTATTTATTTATTTATTTATTTATTTATTTATTTATTTATTTATTTATTTGACAGAGAGAGACACAGCGAGAGAGGGAACACAAGCAGGGGGAGTGGGAGAGGGAGAAGCAGGCTTCCCGCGGAGCAGGGAGCCCGATGCGGGGCTCGATCCCAGGACCCTGGGATCATGACCTGAGCCAAAGGCAGATGCTTAATGACTGAGCCACCCAGGCGCCCCCAAACCTTACTTCTTTTATGTTTACTGATGTGAAGCATTTTTCCCAGACTGGAGATGTGTAGGCGTAAACTGCTACAAAGTGCCCACTTATCTCAGACACTGGGGAGACAGCAGTGGGTCCTGAGAAATGCCTCAACCCCTTCTCAGGGCCCCGTGGCAGCGGCCTCAGAGGAGCTCCAAGCTCAGACAGCAGCCCAGCTCTGCACTGTCAGGAGTCAAAGCCCGTGAGGCCTGTGGAAAGGGCCTGACTGCAGCACCTGGGTGTGCTGGGCAGCAGGAACTACTCCATGTTTCCCGAGGGCGGTGACTGGGGGCTTCATTCCTTGGGACCTTCTTTCAGAGAGCAGCTCTAGAGTCATTCCGTTTATGAATGTTGTCACCAACCCCATTCTACACCAACCTTCCCCGTGTTTCCAGACGGACTTAATATGCCTTTCTAGTGTTATTCACGCCATGGTTCTTCCACAGAAGAAATACAAACACTTTGGCAGCTAAACTCCCTTGATTATTCTCTTTCCTGTAGGCCTTTATTATTTATTTATTTATTTATTATTTATTTATTTTAAAGTAGGCTCCACACCCAGAGAGCAGCCCCTCTTGGGACTTGTACTCATGACCCGAGATCGAGACCTGAGCCAAGATCAGGAGTCGGACGGTCCACCGACTGAGCCAGCCAGGTGCCCTGTAGGCCCTTTTCTTATCCTCCTGTCAGGTATACCATCTCACCTGAAGGAGAACAGGAACTGGTAACATGTCCTTTTTCCTGTATGCTACCAGCTGAGTGTGTTCTCTTCTCCTTTGGGGAAGAGTGGGATAACAACTTGTTGAGCCCTCACTCAACCCTATGATACAAAGTTAGAAATTATCTCTCTCCCTTTCGCACTGAGGAAATGGGCCCAGTGACAAAGAGTGACCTGCGTCCTGTCTGGCCTAGTTCCTCTGCCCTCTGCGCTATGTTCTGCCACGGTGGGCGCTTACTGTAGGCCTCCACTGTTGGGGGTCCCAGAGGGAGTGTGTGCCTGGGAATTGTTGGTATCCTCCCGTTGGGACGTGCATCGCCAGAGCTACCTAAAAGGAAGAGTGAGGAGTGCAGGATGGAGTGAGTTTATATGGAGGGTCTCATGCAGCTGCCCCCGCAGACTGGGTTAGCGCCTACAGTTCCCTTGCCCTTGCCGTTCCAGAAGTGACAGTCACAGAGCCCCCAGGCAGTGTGGTAATAGGTAAGGACAGAAGATGAGAAAAGGGTAGCTTTTCAGAAGTCAGACAGGAAGTCCTCCTGATGAGTGAGGCTGTAGCCAGCTGACTGCAAATTCGGCATGTGTGTAATGATCCCACTCATTCCCTAATGCTGGATTGTCCTTTGTGTAAGGACCAGAAGGCCAAACAGCCAGCCGAAACATGGAGAATTTATAGATGATCTGGAAAACACTTTTGATTCTCTTTAAGGACAGGTACCATACAAGATGATATTATAATTAAATGTCTTAAAATAGCATGCGCACAATTCAGGTAGAGAGCATGCAATGAGAAGTACTTTCCCATTGAGCCAGTCGGGAAGCACGAGGGCTGTCGGTAGCACTGAGCCACTGGGTGCTGGGCATTCGTTCCTCTGAGTGAGTTCCACGGCATTGTTACAGCTCTGTCTTGGCAGGGGAAGTCAGGCTTGGTGAGGCAAGCCCCTGGCCCAGTGCTTACTTCTAGTGGGGCCAAGGTTTGAGCCCAGGCCTGCCGGACTCCAGAACCCACTACCCTTCCAACAAGTGACACATAAAACTGACCACAGAGAAACAAGCCTAACACAGCTCCTGACACCTTTCAGACTCATTTCCCAGTGAATAATGGGAGTACAAGTGGGCTAAGTCCCTGGGATACTCCCAAGATGTAATAAAATTGTATGACAAATCAAAAACTTTGTGATTTTGGTATTGAATACGACTTTAATTATTCTTGTGGTTGTGTAGCTCAATATAAAGTTGAAGAAGTGGTAGAAGCATTCGTAGGCTGTATTTCCAACTTCTGAGAGTTAATAATGGCCTTGCCATTTTCCAGAAGTTTCTGTGGTCTGAAGTTGGTGGGATGGACTGGACAGATTCTTGGTGGGATTGTCCTGATATTTTAGTGATGCCTCAGGTATAAGATAAATATATGCTCTTCCAATTGCTCTTTTTTTTTTAATATATGGGAACTTATGGAGTCTTAACCAAATCTAAGCTGTCCAGTCATGGCCCTGGTAGCCCACACCTGGCATCACAGGGCAGCGTGGCTTTGCCAAGAGGATAGGTAGAGAGCCTAAGGAAAGATCATTCCTTGTGGTGCCTAGAACATGGCCAGCCTCAGTGTCCTTGCTCATCCAGCAGACATGAACTGCTTGCATAATGGGACTGAATAGTCCCCTTCCCTGCCTGCTAGGATGGGTCATCAGGGTCCGCGCATTGACCCGAGGGTGATGGGAAGGCAGGGCGGCTTGGAAGAGGACAGGAGAACAGGCCTACGTGGATCTGAAAGAGAATGATGTGGCCACGGTATCTGTACCTTCTCCTCTCAGTGCTGTAACTGCCCTGGACGTGACAGGCCTTAAGTTTCTGCCCTTTAGCACGGCATGAGAATGTGCAAACATAGCCTTGAAAGGGGAGTGTTGGTTGCCCTACACACCACCACCCTAAATCCGTGCTGAGGGGAAGAGTGGACACCCCACTGCTGGGACGTGTGGAATCAGGCTCTTCCCAAACCCAATTCCAAAATAAATTAGACATTTTACTTGCTAAAATCTAGAGGCTCTAAGGGTTACATAGAAAACTAAGAATCTTTTAAATCTTAGAATATTAAAATATTAATAAACATTGTAAGGAAAAATTATTTTTAATTTTTAAAGTTCTAGGGGGGAAAAAAGCCATACAAGTATATATTAATTAGATATAATGCATGTCCTGCTCTCAGAGATTTATGGTGTCTTCAGATAAGTCAACAGGTTTGGGTACAGATTTTCTTAAACTGTATCCTAATGAGTTCTTATAAATAATCATTATCTTACTCATTTTAGTGTATAGTGACTGTGATTACCTAAATAGATCATAAGCTCATTTTAGGACCATTTACTTAAATTCTTAGCCCATTGCCTTTTACCTGGCTTTCATTTCAGGTAACATCACTTGAATTAAATTAATCAAATCTAATTTCTCATTAACTAGAACACTACTGAATATCAGGGATTTTGTCATTCTTCACACACAGAAAAGTAAGACTTGTTTACACAAAATATGAGTAATCCTTTTAGCAGTGATAGAGATTTTCACTTAAATATGAACATATATATTCTTACGTAAAGTGAAGTGAGTCCTTTAAAATCATTTTCTTTGATTTCCTTAATTTTATTGTTTTGAAGGTCAACCATTTGAGTATCAAATGGAATGTTGCTTGGGACGGAGGACAAACCTAAGAAATAAACGAACATGTTACACACACATGATATGCTGAAGAAGAGTTTTCTAATATGATAGAAATGTACGTTTGTTAAAATCCACAGTTACCATTAAGAAACAGCAAAACCTTGCTCTTTGGAAAGACCTAAAGACCTTTTCAAGTAACTTATATATTTTTGCAAGGTGTCTAGCTGGGTCTAGCTGTCGCTGCTCATCTGCACAAGGTGACAGATAAGGAGGTAAATTAGGGCACACCAGTATGACTGCAGGGAGGTGGCCGCAGCTGAGGTGCGGCTTCTGCTGATGCACCAGGGCCGAGGAGCGGTGACATTCTCTGCCACTACTCAGGCTGTTGTGGGGCTGAGTTGGAACCTGTGGGTTTTGATCATATTAAGAAGCCTCAATATGTACAAAGTTGTGCTTAGAAAATAAATTATATTATTTTCATGTACATTCTTTAAAATGTTACTACGCATTTCCTTTAACAATGAACTGCCCTACTCAGTTGTCAGTTATTTGATTTATAAAAACTTACTCTTCTAGAACTCCCTGTTGATGTCTGGGTGTGCGGTAGACCTTTGCTGACACCCTCCCCCTCAGCGCTGGGTCTTTTCCAGCCATTGCTTTGACCCCCCTGTCAGTTCGCACTCCTCTTTGCAGGGACGATAGTAGCTTTCTTTCTGTGATGTGAGGTTAAGGTTCAGCTGCATCATGCTCTCTGTGTATGTGGGTACTCAGTCATGTTAGTTAAATTACTTAAAGACTTAATGTTTTTTTCCCCTCTTGAATTAAAACACAAAGAAGAGCAGGAAATTACCCAGAGCAGTACCTGGTGCATTTCTTCCTTACTTTTCTTGCTTTCCCTAGATGGCTGAACATACCCACCCTTTTTGTCAGGCCATAAAGTAGTTATGCTTGACAAACATGGGGCCTCTTGTTTTCCCCCAACATTTGTTATTGAAATGTTCAAACGTTAAAGAAAAGTTGAAAGAATTTTACAGTGAAAACTCATAGTCTCTTTCTACCATCAACATTTTACTATACTTACCGTTCATCCATCATCCTTTTTTATGCATTTTACAGGGAGTTTCAGATGTTAGTATGCTTTTGGGGGAGCCATCCTTGCTCCTAAGGAGCAGTAGTATATTTAATAGCTCCATTGAAGGGCTCAGTATCAAAATACTCTACCCGGTAGCCCTGAGTACTTTTCCCTCCATAGTTTACAGCGATGACTCACTCCTTTAAGAAGTTTGACCACAGATAGAAAGAGGGAAAGGGAGTCACTTGGCAGGTTGGCAAGGTAGCCATTTTGATAGGAGATGATTTTGGTCTTAGGAAATGAAGTGGAATGTCTTGGAGGAAGTGGGCGGCTCTGCAGAAAGCACCAGGTAACTTAGACTTGGAGTGACCTTGCTCACCCCACCCCTGATGAAATTGGAAGCTCTGGAAAGAAATTCATTTTCTGAGGGAGAAAGAGTGACAGGGCTCCAGACCCTTTTCATTGTTGTGGTCACGAGGGAGAGGTGAGGTATGTACAGAATGACAGGTGAGTGCCGCACTTTGGCTTCCCACAGTGAGGCAGGTCTGAGCCTGCCCCTCATCTGGAAATGGGCAGGTACAGTGAACCCTGGTATGCATTCCCCATCATACCCTCTCCCTGAACAGGGTATGAGTGTACCCCTCTATTCAAGAGCGTCTTCATTAGAAATATTTAAAAAAATAAAGTACTCAGCAGAGAATTATGCATTTTAAGACTTTAGAAAGTGATTTAGTTCAGTCACTTCTTTTCTAGATGGTTCTAAACCTAAATCATTCAAAACAAAGAGCATTGACTTTAAAATGTCTACATTAGCGATTTCACAAACTCTATAACCTGTTTATGGCTCTAGACAGGCAATTTATCTTGTCCTTGTAGAATGTTACTAGAAAGCACACTGTCAAACTACTGACATCCTGAAATGAACCACAGGGATGTCCATTCTCTCTGAAGGAAATTAAAACGAACCATTTTGATTCAAATTTGAGAAGAGAAGGAAATGTTCTATATTTGTTATATTTTCAAAAAACTTAAATGAAAAATTGCTTTACAGTTAGTGAGCTGATTTTTGAAATTTCAGCGAGGACTCTTACTATCCTTTCAGTTTTATCACAATGACATTTTCTCCAAAACAGGTTGACACATGTTCTTACCTAGATCGGAGCAGTGTACAACTCTCGAGTAGCATTGGCACCCAAATGGACATGTTGGAAACAGATCAAAAGGGAAAAAGGGGTTAACTGGCTCTCTTGTTGGAAAAAGAGAGTTGTCATCATCAGGGTCACCATCCACTCCATCTTCCACGTCCTTCAGCATCATGTTCTTTAGCGTCACGTACGAAGGGTGAAATGAGGGCTTGGCAGAGCATAAAGCCAAGAGCGCTAGGAGCACGCACTCCTTCATGTTATCTCGTGTAGGGGGCCAACCTAGGACTAAGGAGACACTGAGATAAAGTTAAAGTTTAAACAGAATCAGAGTAAGAGCACAACAAAATGGCATTCTGACCCATTGCTGGGTGAGTAAATTTATAAAAAGTTTTTGGAAAGCAGTTGCACACTATGCATTGGAAGTTTTAAAAATATCTTTATTTTTCATCCACTAATTCTTTTTGTAATCTAGTCTCAGGAAATAATTCTAATGTGCATAAAGATGTCCACCACAGAATTATATATAATAGCAAAAAGTTAAAGATAATATTAATGGTTAAAGTGAAATAGTAAAATAAAATAGGGTGTATGTATTCCACAAAATACTTCTGAACTCACAAAATATTTGCAGTGTTTACAAATATTGGGGTGCTTGGGTGGCTTAGTTAAGCATCTGCCTTTGGCTCAGGTCATGATCACAGGGTCCTGGGATCGAGTCCCACATGGGGCTCCCTACTCAGCAGGGAGTCTGCTTCTCCCTTTCCCACTCCCCCAGCTGTGCTCTCTCTGTCTCAAATAAATAAATAAAATCTTTTAAAAAATTGAAAAAAAAATATGGAACATTGTATTTTTGGAATTACAAAAAACAAATCTAAAAAATCCATATGTAAAGTATACTTACAAACACTCAAAAACTTGGCACAAATATAGCTAATTGATAATCCTGGGTAGTAGAACCATGAATGACGTGTGTCGTCTTTTTTTTTTTTTAACTTTTATAATGGCCAATAAGTACTACTGTTATACTTAGGAAACTAATGAGTGCTTTTAAAAACAAAAACAGATAATCATACCTGACTCCCTCTTCTCCATATCCTTCCATTGCCTTAATATCTATGTCCCTTTTGAAGTAAAACCCCCATGTCCCCTTGGCCTCACATCTGGAGATTGTCTGTAATAACCCTCCCTCCCCACCGCCAGCCTCACTCTCAGACTTGGTCACTTTTTCCACAGTGTACTTGGATTTCCTCCTTCTAATCTGTTCATTGTCTAATACCTGATCCAGAGCGTCTGAGGGCCAGACTTTCTTACTCTTTTCTTGCTCATCTTTCCACTGAGTTTTGTTTGTTTGGTTTCTTTGAGGGCCGGGGTTATTTGTTTTCAGCTGTATTTTTAAAGCCCACACAAAACTAGAATGAATGATCTAGAGCCTTGTGAGCATAGATTTGTTGTCATCTAATGGCAGATTTTTCTACAGGTGTGTTTACATATCATGGTTTCTTAACTGTCACTTGAGAAGTGTACAGTCTTTGTAATTTTCAAAAATTATGAAATCATCTAAGACAGTCTTCCAGTCTTCCCTGTGCATTGGGTGGCACACAGATGCCCATTGGTGAGGCTGTGCTCTGGCCAGAGGGCATGCACCCTCTCCCCAGATGGCCCTCAGCCGGGTCCCCAGCAGTGCAGCTGGTCCACTTGCTGCACCTAACACGACAGCACCGTAGCCGCACAGGCCGTCCAGAGGCCGTTGCAGTTGGTCCAGCCTCGGGAAGATCTGGCTCCCCAAGTCCTTGCGAGTCATGTCGGCTGCTTACAGTTTCCCAGAACCCAGAAATTAGGTTTAACCTCTCTCCATGGCCTTGCTCTTTCTGGACTTAGGCATCAGAAATGAAGTATTCAGCTATATGTGGTATGCCTTTTAATCCCCAGGGGAAGGTGGGAAAAAAATTCTATCATCAGTCATTAACCTGGTAATTAACATTATTTAACTTAGAAATCTAAATGGCAGTGTGAACACTTTGTCCGCTGGGTGGCTGGACATCACCAGCTAGATACATGAGATTTCTCTGTGATAACCCACACTCGATTATGCGACGATCAGGACATACCTGAGAATGGCAAACACTTTTTTATGTTACTAATTCACTTCAGAACCAGCCTGGCCTCCCACCTCTTCCCTGCCTTATGGAAGCATCAGTCCAGTTGATTCCAGACACATCCCCCACATTAACCAGGAGGAACGGGAGGCGCAGAGACCTTCAGTGGCTTCCCCAAGGCCACATAACCAAAAGAGTCAGACCCCAAGGTAGAGCCCACACTCCCAGTGTATGGTCTGCATTTTCTGCTGCTGCCTTCGCGGGAGCACGCTCTTGCATCCTGAAATCCGGTGGCCTCACCCACACACTCTGTCATCTCTTCTCCAGCCAGGCCACCGGTCTGCACAAGGAGGGGTGCATGTGCAGCCTGGGCTGGGAGGGCAGGAGTGGGTATGGTGTGTGGTCAGATTCCTATGGTGCAGAGACCCTGTGCTGGCCGCTTGAGGCCCGGCGGTGTCTGTCGGCCGGCTCCAGGATGGGCAGGTTCCCTTTCCATGTCCAGTCTCCCAACCCCCACAGGCACCTGGTAAGGTCAGCTGGGTTCTGTTTCCATTATCACTTTGTCTCTGGCACGTTATTTCTGCTTCCCAGCTGCCTGCCCAACTTTGACCCAAGGCATCTGTGTGGTTCCTGGCTCCCTAGTACTTGGTTCCCAGCTTTGCATTGACCTTCCAAAACTCCCATTCCCTAGCTAATTCAGCCCTGGGTGGGTCCTTAGCCACACCAAAGCTTGTCGCAGGTACCAGCTTATTCTTTACCATTGCTCTGCAGCTCTGCCTTCCATGTCCACAGCTGCCCCTGGCTCTGCCTTTGCTTGAGGTTGCTGCAGTTTTCCAGTGGGCATGTGTCGGGGCCTTGCTGTGTACCAGGCGCAGGGTTAGGATGCAGATTCTGTGACATAGAGGCCCCTCTCTCCCCATCCTCTTTCCTCCCTCATGTCCCTCCTCAAAAAAATAAAACCACAGCTCCTGATCCGCTACTCTCAGCCAAGCACGGGCTTGTTGTAAAAGCCAAAGCTGGAATGTCAGGTGCATCCGTGGGAAAACTGAACAAATGCCTGAGTTAGTAAACAGAGCTGAACTGCGGGTAGGCACTGTGCACCGAGGCTGGCACTTTGGAGGGATCTCCAGGTGTGTGGCCCCCAGACTCAGAGGGCAGCATTCTTCACCAGAGGTCTGTTTACTCCTCATACCCTCAGTTTACTGTTGGAGACAGTAGATATAAAGCCATCTCTATAAAATACACACACACACACAAGGTTGAAATAGAACACACAAACCTAATAAGAGAGAGTAGGCTACTGAGTGAAGGACGCTTTTCCTCTTTTGGGGGCCTATTTTTTTAAATTATTGTGTTGGTTTTTAAATATTTTAAATGGTCCCCTGTATACTTTTGCCTTTTGCCAACCACTTCTGTAGCATCAGGTGGTCTACACAATTAAAGGTTTCTCATCTACCCTCCCCTCAAGAGTCCAAAAAAAAAGTCAGACAGCAGTGCCCACCTGGGGAATCTTTGGGGGCCGTGGTTTCCTGAGGCCTGCCCCCAGTTGCCCTGGTCCGTGGGAGATGAGGAGTTTAATCCAGAGTTATTTTTGAATTGGTTTGCTGAGTTTCAGTATTTTCTTGGAGCAACTTAGAGCTATACAGGAGCTTGTAGGTTCCCAGGCTAGACCAGAGAAATCTACGTAACAGGTACTGTACCTGAAGTGATAGATGTAAGAAAACCATAGAACCTTAACAAATCCACATAACAAGAGGACCATGGTAGAGCTCCAAACACTTCTGGGCTTTCCCTGACCTGGCAGTGGAGCTCGGGACTCGCCTTCGCTCCTCCTGCCTCAGGACGCAGGAGAGCCCAGGAGCCAGGTGCAGGTGAGGATGAGGGACAGCGGTGTGAAGAGGCCACGTGCAGGTGAGGGGGAGGGGCAAGCCAGGCATCAGGGCTGCAGACCAGCCCCCCAGCGGGGTCAGGAGGCACATCAGCCAGCGTGCCCCCCCCCCCCGCCACGGAGGAGGTGGGGGCTCTGGCTGCTAGAGCAGGCTGGGTACCTGGGATGCTTTCTGGTTGCTGGCTGCTGGGTCAGCACCCCTTGTTCATGCCTCCTTGGGCCCTTCCTCTGCAAGTGAGGGAGGAGACCTGCAGAGTCAGGAAATGGCACGTAGGTGAAACTCTGTCCGGGTGTTGGATTCTCCCCGGAACATGCTGGGTCAGTTAGTGTGTCCACTCTCTGCTTGCATGACTCCAGCGAGTGCTCCTCAAGGGGCGTCTGGTTCCCCTGTTGTCCATCTCTGCTTGATAGGAAATTCTTTATATGGAGACCCAAAGTGCCTTCTGGCATGTTCTCTCCGTGCTACTTCTGACTTCTGTTAGCCATAGAAGATTAATGTGATCTCTCTGCATTCTTTTATATCCTGGCTCCTTAAAAAGAGAAGTCAGGCGAGCCTTGATTCCATGAGGGATTCACCCTTTACACCCTTCATCTGAGGCGAGAAAGTACAAGTGATAGTAGGCCCCAAACCGTGCCCTATCCTAGTTGACCAATTTTTTTATCAGTAGAAAAATATTGGGATGTCCAGGAGGGAATGCTGTATAGCAGTGTTTTTCCATTATTCAGAAAGAATATAGAGTATTATTTCTCATTGAAAATGATGTGACTTTTAGTTGTCTTATTTTTAAATTTATTAGTTTATTAATATTTAGGCTTAAGCTCTTATTTGATAAGTTTGGGCAGTAGTTAGATTGTGCTATTTTTTTTTTTTTTAAGATTTTATTTATTTATTTGAGAGAGAGAGACTGAGAGAGAGAGAGCATGAGAGGGGGGAGGGTCGGGAGGGTCAGAGGGAGAAGCAGACTCCCTGCCAAGCAGGGAGCCCGATGCGGGACTCGATCCCGGGACTCCAGGATCATGACCTGAGCCGAAGGCAGTCGCTTAACCAGCTGAGCCACCCAGGCGCCCTAGATTGTGCTATTTTTAAAACCTTTAAAAATATTTGTGTTTTGTTCTCAGGAAGACTTAGTATTTCCCCAGTTTAGACCAGTTTTGCCAGAGTTTATTACTCATGGGAAGCTTTGGACTTTGGTTTCAAGTTTCTTTTAATCAGAATATCTGGAATATTACTTCAGTGCTACTGCTGTTCGTAATAAACCGTGGCACGGTGTAGCCAGGAAGGGCCTCTGAGACGTTGCTCCCACAGAGGGGCCGAGGTCAGCCTCCTCGCTCCTGCATTGCCTGCCCCCAGCACACCGCTGGCACGGCCCCCCCAGGCCGGCCCCAGTGCCACAGTGACTCCCAGACAGTAAGCTGACTCTCCTCAGAGGACGGGGCACGCGGTTTGGCCAGGTGCTCAGGACTGGAAATGGAGCTAAGAAGTGTCTCTGAGTTTGCATAAACTCCTATTTTCCACTTAAATGTTCCACAAACTTAGATTGGAAAATTTGTCCAAGTGAAATGGTATTTCTTCTCAGACACTACTATTAGGAAAATAAGTCACTGTGCTTTTAAATCCCATGCTTAAAGGTCTGCTTGGCGACTTTTCCCCTGGCTCACTTGTCCCTATGCACTCACAAGTGCTAGCAGCAGATGTCAGTTGTAAATGTGATAAAGGTCCTCCATGTGTGTACCCACAGAGGGCATCTGAGCTGGATCCAGGTACAATCGAGGCTCAGCCCTGTACTTGAACAGGTAAGGAAGTTCAGCGTCCAGACATGAACTTGGACGCTTACAGGACCTCTGGAAGGAAACTAATGCTTTTAAAGGCCACACTGTCCTTAAAGAAATAATTCGCTTTACCCTGGAAATGTAAATTGCATCTGATAAAGAAGTTGTGACTGCCTTTCCTTAGACCAGTTTTTGTCCTTCGTTTTTCAGTGCATCTTAAAAACAAAACACTTCTACCTCTCTGTTCCCCAGTGTCTCCTACGGTGCATTAAGACTTGTGCTTGTAAAGTGCTTTGTCTCAAACCTCAGATCAGGTACCCAAACACTCATTTGTAGTGGGGTAGCTGGTGGAAACAGAAGACTTCTTTCCACCACGCTGTGTTGTGAAATACCGAAAACAAAAACATCAAGATACTTTCACATGTGTGTGGGCTTACGAGTTCTTTGTATTTCCTTTTTTTTTTTCCTTTTTAAACAACTCAATGATTCTTGGGATTGGAAAAAAAAAAACCACTTTATTCTTAGAGAGAGATAGACCCTCAGGTTTCTTTGTGACTTCACCCACAGCATGTGGCCGCGGCTTGTGGCCGCCACACCTCTGAACACACTAACAAGAAGGAATGCTGTGCTCTGTTTAGATTCTGAGGAAGTAGGACATCAACTACATTGTTTAATTTCTTTTCACCTAAGATTTAATTTAAAAATTTACTTTGGGAGAGGACAAAGGAAATCTGTATTTTAAATTCTGACTATGGAGTTGTGTGAAAAGAAGTTTCTGATCTTTCCTGTTGGATATGGAGCTAGTTGAAGTATTGCTGATAACTATTCTTTCTTGGAATTATATGCATCTCCATGTTTACTGTCCAGTGCTATCTCGTTACATAAGAAAAAGGAAGACATTTATCAAAAACAATGTGAATATTCAAATGTGTAAGTAAAACTGACATTTGAATAATTCATATTTTGAAAACACATTAGAAAACATCATAGTTTTGCATTTTGAAAGAAATATTTACTGTTTCGCTTAATGTTTTTGTGATATCCATAAACTTCATTATCATTAATTATTTTAAGGTCATGTTATTTTCCTAAAAGAACATACTCAAAAGATTTTGGTTTAAATATTTTTAAAATCAATCATGTTAAAATTTATGGTGAAGCATCAGAACAGGTTTTCGTTTAACTGTAAAGTCAGTTACATGACAATGAATCCATTCTATATAAAACTCAAAGGCTAGAGTAATTTTATGTTCTGTATTTAAGTACTGACTTTTAAGGAATTCTGCAGGTAAACTTGGTCATATGTTTTACAAGCAGTGGTGTTAATAACGTCAGTGTCCCCTTAGTATCAACTATGGAGTTGTTCCTTCAGCTGTGAAGAAAAGACTGAAAACGTACCTCGTCAGGAGGGAGTCCGTCCTGAGGGTCGAAGCCCCCAGCATGTACTCCTTCCCTGCCGTGTCTTGCTGCTCCAGGTGCTGCCGAAGGAGAGGTGAGAAGTGTCCCGGCAGGCGGGCGGCACTCCGCTCGAGAGTGGTGTGGCTACACCCTGGCTGACACTGGAATAAGCTGCCTCCACAGATTAGCGGCGTAGGACTGAGGGGCCAGATTAAAACTTGTTACTGCTCATGTGTTTTCCATCACTGTTTGTATCGTAGCCAAGACTTCTAGCTAAACGCTAGACGTCTACTGGAAGATTCTGAAGGAAAAAAAGGGAGCTTAATAATGCATGGCAACTGGCCATCGAAAGTGCAGCCAAAGTCACTCAAGAAGTACCTGATTTGAAAAAATACTTTATGAAATTCTTAAATGAGCAAATCCTGATAGATTACAAGTTTAAAAACCACTCACCCTATACAGACTGACAAAATGTTCATCAATCTTGGTAAAACATACCGACGTCACTGACGTGTAAACCCAGGTCCAGCTGTACCTGAGAACGGGGCCATGCCACTGAAGTCATCCCGTCAAGCATACTCGCCCAGACTGTGCTCGGAAGCATTCAGCCCTGCCACGGGCATGCCGGGTCACTGTACACGAGGCCCTACGCAGGGCCCGGCCCCAGCGTGTACACTGTAATCCCAACAGGGACACGTGCCTCCGGGGTCGCCAGCGTGGGCTTTCCCTTTCCAGGAGAGCGTGCAGGGGGACCTGGCAGTGGGAGGACGCCATCGTCTGAGAAGGACAGCGTTGTTAGCATTCCCTGTACCATGCACCCCCTCGGGAATGCCAGTTCCCACCGCAGCTAGGACCTCATCCTTCCAGAGAGGGTCTCTTCCGTCTGCTGAGAACGACTCACAGTGACAGGTAGCTGTAGGGGATCTCCTGGTGCGCAGAGTTGGGGGCCAACCTGTTTTCGGAGTGTGTTTCCCGTGGGTTAGCAGGGCCGGCACTCTCCTGCCATAAAGAATCTGTCCTTTCCCACCTCGCAGAGAAGTGGGGCGTGTGGAAGTGAGGCAGCCACGGCCCAGAGAGCAGGTGGTGCCTCCGAGGGGCGGGCAGCCAGCCCCCCATAAAGAAAATGCCCTTCCGTGGACCTGGAGTGTGCTGGCCCTGTTGCCGGCCTCCACGGAGAGCCCTGTTTGGGTCCAGTGCTCGTGCTCCCACTGACGCAGTTGTGTTTAGTTCAGAGGTGTATCCGTTACCTGGATGAACTGAGACATCCTGAGGGCTGAACTGTACTTACTAACCTGGTTTCATCAGAGCAGAGTTCTGTTTGTCCTGCACCGTGTTTTGTTTTGTTTTTTAACTTAAATAAGTGTATATTACAAAAATAAATAAATACCACATCATAATGGTATAGCTCGGTTAATGTTCACAAACCGGGCGCTGGTTGGAAGCCCCCTGGCCCTCCCCCCGAGCTTCCTCAGAGGAGGAAGCTGGCTTCCTGGCTTCAAGCACACACCGCGTTCCCTGCGCTCTGTAAGCGCGGCACATGGCAACTCACTCTGGGGTCTGGCTTTCTTCACCCTGCGTTGGCTGTTTGACATCCATCCAAGGTGTTGTGGCTCATTCTCAGTGCTGTGTGACTGTGCCCCGAGTCAGAGTTCACATATATATTCCCGTGTGGGGTGCAGCTGTGAATGTTCAGATGTGTTTTCCTCTGTCGTGTGAGGCTCCTGTGTATGTGTTTTTGTTTGGAATTACTGTTCTTAGAATTAGGGGGTTTTCACTACTCTCAACAAGCTAAGCTTTGCCAGTGTGTGGCTCCTGTTTTTACATGGCAGCCCCAGCTGGGGCTGAGGGTTAGCTCCTCCTGTCAGTGGGACACGCGCTCCCACCTCCGCCTCTGCCTCCTGGTCTAGAGAGCCGGAGGACTTCCCAGGAGATTGCTTTGCTGAGGGTGTATGACGGCCTCTCCCACCTCCCTCCACTGCGAGCCCCCTGCCCTGGCTTCCTTCTGCACCTTGCTTTGATCCTTGGTTGAAGGCCTGGGGGAAGGAGGCCCAGGAGTAGTGCCAGGGGTGGTTGTGTATTTGGCTTGTTTGCCCTGTTCTGCAGACTCAGGGCCCGGACC